GCGCCAGGCTTTCTGTTAGGAGCTGGGGAACAACAGTGAACAAAACACAGCCAAAAGTCCTTCCCCTCAAGTAATGTTCGGACAGGTAAACAGGCTGCTGAATGCAACAGCGGGCACAGAGAAGGTGCCACAGGTGCACACAGGACTCTCAGAGGACCCCGCTCGGGCTTGGGGATCAGTGGGGACAACTTCTTGGAGAAACTGACGTCTAAGTTGAGGTATGAAGATTAGTAAGAACCAGTCAGGGCAAGGAGGACAAAGGTAAGGAGAGTGTTCAGAAAAAAGGAGCACCATACATGACGGCTTGGAAGCGAGAGAGAACAAGAACAATTTATAAATTACAAGTAGTTTATCTTGCTGGAGTGTATCTGGGAAGTGGTGAGAGAGAAAACTGAAGACTTAGGCAGAGGACTGGTCTTCATAAACTGCTAGGATGTCAGACTTTACCCTTAATAATAACTGAGCCTCACAACAAAGATAGTGACAACTACCTTTAGAGAATCAGCACTGAGATAGAAACAAAACACCAGAGATAGCAATACCCATGTAAAACAGGAGACGGTGAATTATTCTAAGGTCCCTGTATTGTTTGGGAGATGCTGACTGACTTTAGACTTTGTTAAGAATATATGTTAAAATTTAAGAGTAACAGTTATTATGGGTTGAACTGTGTCCCTCCAAAAGATATGTTGAAGTCCTAACCCCTGGTACCTGTGGATGTGACCTTATTTGGAAATAGGGTCTTTGCAGATGCAATTAGTTAAGTTCACATGAGGTCACACTGGAGTAGGGCAGTGCTTTTTGAACTGTGGGTTGTGTTCCATTCAGTAGATTGTGACATCAGTGCAGCGGGTTGTGATCAACACTTTAACAGAACAAAAAATACGAAGAGTGCACTGTATATTCTAAGGGCAAGCACTGTTTCGGGAGCTTCCTTCTTACTGAGGGTGGACTCACAAACATTTAAAATACTGTACTAGAGAGCTTTGGTTGGAACACAGCAGTGTAGTCAGCATTTCCTCTTACTCTTCCTAGCAATTATCTAAAAGCAACAAGTAGAATGAGAAACATAATGCCAAATCCATTTTCAGCAAAACTGGGAGACAACTAAGATCTCAGATCTCAAAACAGAAGGGTTACCAAGAGCAGGAGATAGTGCGGAATGCTGGGGCGCGGGGAACACCAAAAGCAGAGGAGAAGAGACCCCAATGGGTAGAATAACATGGATGCAGATTTCATGAAGAGCCAGCAAAATTCTACTTTAAGACAAGGAGCCCATTCTGAGGAGCAAAGCCTATTTGCCAGGTTTGTAACCGCTGGAATGGGGCATGCTGGCCGGCAGCAGGAGCTTCTCTGGACCTGGTGTGGTTGTAATAGGAGGGGCAGAACTAAATGAGGAATCACACAGAAATACCAAGTTTTCAGGAGCAGTGGCATCCGTGAAGACGGCCTTTGCATTGTGGAAAAACCTCAAACTGCCAATCTCCAATGGCTGCATCGAAATAAAGGATAAATGCCTTGTACAAGCCCTGGATCTTAAGAAAAATTCCAGCCAGCTTGTAACAAGGCCTTGCCCACCCTAAATTCCCTGTAACAGCTGGTACAAAAAAATATAAGTACATATATTTTTAATTGTACTTTAGATGAAGGTTTACAGAACAAACTAGCTTCTCATTAAACAATTAGTACACATACTGACGACTCTCTAATTTGGACCGGCTGCTTTCGAGGCCTGCTGCACAGCTATCATATTGGGATTTTTCATCACACTCCTGGGTTAGTTCCTACTGTCAACATTCTCCCTTCTCGACACTGGGTCCCCTATTACTAGCTCTCCTGTCCCCTCCTGCTTTCTAGTCCTTCCCCTGGGCTGGTGTGCCCCTTTAGTCTCGTTTTGTTTTATGGGCCTGTCTAATCTTTGGCTGAAGAGTGAACCTCACGAGTGACTTCGTTACTGAGCTAAAAGGGTGTCCGGGGGCCATATTTTCGGGGTTTCTCCAGTCACTGTCAGGCCAGTAAGGCCTTTTTTTGTGAGTTAGAAGTTTGATCT